AACCAGTAGGAGAACCGACCGACAAAGAAACGGAGCCTGTTGCACGCAGTCAATAACTACAGCGACGTCAGAACTCAAGCAGCGAAGTACCTTGTCCGGCTTCTACTGCAGCTTGTGATAAGCTGTCATCGCCGAAATCAGAACATCTGTACCATGGCAGCAAAGAAATCACAATTGAAATTGATGGAATGTAAAGAGTTGAAAGCATGGCTTGCTTCGACTATAGAAGAAAATAATTTATTTGAATGACTTCAAAAATACATCACATAATACCCCTTCACTGTATCTGTCATCAACAGAATGCTTTGCCAGCAGATTCATCAACAGTCGAATAACATACTCTCTGTCATCTTCAGACGACTGCGACAAAACACTCTCCAACTGCAACAGCAACAAGCCGACAATGTAATGCGTTGTGCTAAATGCAGTAGAAAGGAAGAATTCGTGCTGCAGGTCCGGTTCTAAGAGCACAGTGAAGTAAAATCATCTGATATTTATCCAAACAATAACGAAACATCAAACATGGCTGAATTAAGAAGCTGCATACAAGGTGTCAAAATGGCGCAGCTTCGAGTGCAGACAAATAGCCGTTTCTCAATTAATTCATATTAATTAAATAGCTGGCAGAGTTCATACATACATTAAGGAATGTCACTGTCAGATAAAATAACCACGGATATGCCGTGATAAAGTAACACAGTACCTAGGCTTCGAAACCTCCGTGGTAAACAAACTTTAAATCATTTTCTGGGTCAATATAAAGGCTGGTTAAAATAAGCAAACGAAGGCACATTTCTAGCACTGACCACAGCTCGAATCTTGGAACGATCCGTCATAAAAATAAGGACTGCCTAAGCGACTCGTTGATTAGCTGACTGCATGACTGACCAACTGAAAGAAGTACATGTACTTGAGACGAGAAATATGACCTGTGACGCAGCAACGAACACTGAATAATATCAATGTGATATATCATTTCTAGGGTAGTATTTGCAGTTTACAACATCTTTCATCAATACACGAAAAAGATTTGCCAACGCTATTTTTAGCTTAGAAACATGCCTAATCTTCTGTTTATAAAATGAGGGCAAACACTTCGCCTAACCGCCTGCAAGTGATCAAATGCCTCCGTATGAAACAGATGCGAGTCAATTAATGAGATATTTCGCGAAACACTATTTGACAGTGAGAAGTACTAACTTTCACAGATGACTGAAATACAATCGGGAAGCTCTTCTGACTGATCCGACCACAAACCAGCACCAAGATTCATCAGCCGTCGAAACAAGCGATTTCCATCCTTCTCTTTTGTCTGCGTCTTTGCAACGGATTTCGGGGCTGAAACAACATAACGATATACCGATATAAATAAATCAGAAAAATATATCCTATCAAAACAGGAAACTACTCGAACCCAATACAGTTTTATATCTGAGAAAAACAGTTAAGTCTTGAGAGCAGAAATCATAACATCGTTCGAAATCTCGATTAGTGGATAACATAATCAAAAATATCTCCACTCCTGATGAATAACACGTAGAGAAAACGTTTGTAGAACTACCTACACTTTCTCAGAAGTCCAACTTAACAAGTCCATCAATTGTTACTGGTCCTAGAGCTAAACTAGCCAACAAGAAAAGTCTAAAATACCATAACATACGGTGGGTTCTTTTTTAAGTTCTCAGTCGCATTCAAGAACTGTTAATCCTGGCATGAACAATTGAATTTCATTTTCAAGGATGAAACAGCTAATACTGAGAATGGAATTTTACCGTCATAAGGTCACCAATCAAACCAAATCTTAACATGCATAACGAGGAAAGTGGTCTGATATGAAATGCTCATGCTGTTAAGAGCCTTAGAGTTCAGGTTCACTCTAACCACCTGCAGAATTCTATACCGGGTGAATTTCGTGTTCAAAGTGCGCAAACGGTCGTTCTACCTCATTAAGTTATTAACATCCTCAGTACCACCTCCTAGGGAAATTGTTCGTTCTACGTTTTAGCAGCTTACTATCGATAATTACTCAACCACCACGGCTATTACTTACGGAAACTGGAGAAGCACTGACAGCTAAGTAAACCAAGGTTCTCCTGAAAATGTCAACATCGGAATGCATCAAGACGCCTGAGAACAGGGACTCGTCTCAAATAACCCATTTCCTAGTATGCGGGATACAAGTTTCTCACTCATGAACCATGATTTCTGGCCATATGTTAGCGTATGGATAAAGATCGGCTTTGAACAAACAGCTTCATCTTCAGCTATGCCATAATTACAATGATTCGTGAGAGTTCACGCACAACGTCGCTGCCAATTAAAATTTGAACGTCGATCTCTTCATCCAATTTTTCATTGCTAGCAAGCACGACTTCAGGTACCTGAACTTATTTATATGATTCACTGTTCCACCATTTATCAGAAGACCTTATCTGGTAGAACAAAGAGAAAGCACTAGAGTTCTGGTTTTTAACACGTTCACAAGCATGTCAGCCGCGTTGCATTCAGCTACCAACATTGCCAGAGAGCGTTAGAGATCAGTTTCAGAAGACGGCATCAACATAAGGCGGTCTGCAGACAGCATGCTTTTCATTTCTGCATCTCCTACGGTGATACACTCGTTATCCTCGCTGCGCATGACTACTTAATTCATGTACAACACAAAGGGAGAAGAAAAGAACACAGACAGTTTGCGGATACCAATGCAACACTAAAATGTCTCTCCTTAACGCCATTTACTCTGACATAGCACAACTTATCAACATATAGCAACTAGAACGCTCCTAAGAACTAACTGTCCACGCAGTAAAACCGCAGACACGTCCCTAACTTCTTGCGTGCGACCCAGTAAATAAAGCGTATATGAATCGGATAAGCGAACTCCATCGATTTTTCAAAAATCCTATCTACGGCGAAAACAGAGCCAGAGGTGTTTCAGCATTATTGGAAGGAACACTGCATTTCTTAGATCTTGGATACAGGTATTCCGCAGCATCTCCTTTGCAACAGCCTTGCGTATACTTTTTCCGGAAGGGTCACTAAGGTATTGACCCGATAAATGGAGCACCCCATATAATTTCCCTTGTTGAACAGAGGTACTACAACTCCTGTTCGCAAATCCACTGGTGTCTTCCCCAGAGCCATTGCAGTTTGAAAGATACGTGTAGTTCAACAGAGGTTTTGTTCTCCCAATGTTTTAAGCATTTAAGGGTGGGTTTTATCGATTCCAGCACTCTTGTCTCTCTTCAAGCTTTCACAGATTGTATGATTTCTTCTACAGGAATACTAATATCGTTCCTTGCTGCATTTCGGGGGAGTCTTAGCGCGGTTGGTCGGGATTACGGAGTTTCTCAAAATACTCCCTCCAACGTCGAAGAATGTCATCATCCTTCGTAAGAGGGTGTCAAGACCCGTCCTTCGGGACTCTTAAACTGCCCTTCTCTTCACCTCGGAGCCGGCGGATGGTCTGCTAGAATACCTTGACTGCCGTCTATAAATATGACTCCAATACCTCACCAAACTCCTCCCAGGAATCAGCTCTGGCTTTCGCCACTGCTTTTGCTGTCGCCTTGCGCGTTTCTTTATTCTGCGTGCGAATTGAAGACTCTTTACTTCCAAGATACCCTTGAATGCAGTCTTTCGGTGACAGCTACTTGTCCTCTCGTGTTTATGTTTATCAGGAAGCTCGTTTCTGATCTACAGGCGATGTGCCAGCCCATTTTAAACCGCAGCATTCGGCGGCAGCCCAGAGTATGCCACTCTTAAAGAGCTTCCACTCGGTTTCCATGTCAGTGGTCATCGCTGGGACCCGTTCAATTTGTTCTGCGATGTTGTTTGCAAGTTTAGCCCTAGCATCAGCGGAAGATCATATTTCCCATTCGATTGTCTGGTTGCTTCAGCCCTTAGGTCTTCCCATGGTATACTCTATCATTTGCAGCGGATGGTGACAACAACACGGTGGTAATCGGTTTACAGCTCTGCGACTCTCTTAACGCGAACGTTCATTAAAGAGCGTATCAAATCAAATCATTGACTTCTGCGCACAAGCTTTCCTGTACAAGGTATATTCATACACGCTCAGATGCTCAAAGAAAGTGTTCATAATAGACAGTCCGTTGTCTACAGAAATCTGCAGCACTTCATGCCGTTATCGTTGAGGTCCTTAGAGTCGCTGTTTTAAGTAAAGCACTTCTGCTTCGCAGTGTCTGCTTTGGCATGCGCATTGAAATCGCCAATGAAAATGCTCGGTTCAGTAGCCGGCACTTCTTACATAGAACTTTCTACTTCCTCCAGAAAAAAACTCATATTCTCTCTTTGAAATGGGCTCATAGACCCGTAAATCTTTAGCCTATTCCAACTTCAGCCACATGATGCCACCCTCTGTGACTTTCTGTTGACAGATTTCCATTCAATTAATCCTTTTTCCTGGTTGGGTTCAACTAGATACCGGCCTGAGCACACGGCTCGGACATAAACACCGGCATGAACGTGGGTCGCAGAGTCGACACCTGAGAAAACAGGTTCCACCAGTTGAGG